TGTCGCCGCTGCAATCTTTGGGGGCGCCGCCGCTGACGTCTCCGCCATCGTCTAGATCAGCTGCCGTCATCGCGGTCGCTGCCGCCGCCGTGGGCCGCCGCCTTCGCCCGCGCGCCCAGGTGCCGATTGAGGCGCGTTGAGCTCGTAGGCCGGGCCTGTCTTCTGCTACGGCCAAGGCGCCATATGGAGAACTAGAAACATCAAATAGGCCAAGACGACCTAGAAACATCACATAGGCCAAGACGATCTATTTGACGACAAGGGACGTACATCCAGGGGCCAGGAAATATATTGACGACAGAGCAGGGAGGCTCTTGGTGGAGGAGGAGGGGGAGGAGGAGGATAAGGAGAAGGAGGAGCGGAGGAGGACAAGGAGGAAGGTGGCGGAGAAGTTGGAGGAGGAGGATGGGGGGGGGAGGAGGAGGAGGAGGAGGAGGAGGAGGAGGAGGAGGAGGAGGAGGAGGAGGGGGGGCATCTCTCTCGGTCCGCATGCTGATGCACAGGGTTGCTGTTCGTGGGCCTCCCAAGATGTATCGTGCAGATTGCTGCGGCCCCCATCCCCGCGCGGGTCCCCAGGCCCCTTCCCCCAAGCGATGTGCCCAGGCCGTTGGCCGTCGGCTGAGGCCCTCTTCCGGGCTGGGCCATCCCCCATTTCGATTGGATGTCGACGTGGCCGCATTCGGGGGCCATGCGACGCCTGTATGCGTTGATTTATGTTGCTTCAGTTGCGTGCCCGCGTGGGCCTCGCTAGGCCTTGAAATATCCCAAACCAGGTAACGGGCCTTGTTTCGCTGGCACCCAATCATACCTAAGAAGGAGGAGGAGGAGAGGGAGGGGGAGCTAGGAGGAGAAGGAGGAGGAGGAGGAGGAGGAGGAGGAGGAGGAGTACGCAGGTAAATCAGAATCAGGAGGGGGAGGAAAAGTGGGAGGAGTACGAGGGGGAGTGCAGGGCCGACGCGGTGGCGTAGGACAAGAGCAGCGACGAAGGGAGGATGTGTGTTGCAGGTGCTAAGCTAGCGGAGGCAGAATGTGCACTTTCAGACTATGACACGTCAGCTTAGACGGTCTTCAAAACCGACTAGATGCGAATCGAAAACGTTGTTTCCTTCAAGAGATCCTGTAGTAGGGTTCCAGATTTTCCGCAGCCATGAAGTGCTGCAAGAAGCGTCGGCGAAGGAGGCCCCCCCCCCAAAACACATTCGACCCATGGCATAACAGTTGCAGCCGACGCTTCCGCCAACGGCCAGTTGTAGTCGAAGCAGCAGCAGCAGCAGCAGGCACAGAAGCTAGCCAAGAACCCGAACAGCAGGATGACGACGACAGAAAGGACGACTCGGCACATCGCTCGGGGGAAGGGGCCTGGGGGCCCGCGCGGGGATGGGGGCCGCAGCAATCTGCACGATACATCTTGGCAGACCCACGAACAGCAACCCTGTGCATCAGCATGCGGACCGAGAGAGATGCCCCCCCTCCTCCTTCTCCTCCTCCCCTCCCTCCTCCTTCTCCTTCTCCTCCTCCTTCTCCCCCTTCCTCCTCCTCCTCCTCCCCCTCATCCTCCTCCCCCCCATCCTCGATCCTCCTCCTCCTCCTGTCCAAGGGCCTCATCAGAGTATGTTGTATCGAGCGGGGGCTCGTGAAGGGAGATAGCGTAGGGGAGATCGAGGAGGCGGGCGGGCGGGTGACTGCCGGGCGGGAAACGTGAAGAGTTTCCTTAGGACGGAAACTCGATGCCGCTCTACTGTACTCCCTCCTCCAGGCTCTCCCCAAACTGTTCTACTCCTCCCTCCCTCGATCTCCCCGGGTCCGCTCCTGCCTCCGCCCCCCCCTCCTTCGCCAAAAGAAATAGGCCCCGCCATTTCCTTCAAACTAGACGGCTCCGAGTTTCCGCCCTAAGTCGGAGGCCCCGCACTAGTGGCGGCGCAACGTCTTCGATGCCACCACGGGAACATGCACGCGCGAATGGCGCTGGGGCAAGCGGATGATGGAGCGGCAGCTCTAGAAATACCGCGGCTGCATGATTGCATGATGCATCCTCCCACATGCTTGGTCCTACTGCCTCTCGATCTTGTCAATCGTCGTCGTCCTTAATGCCCCCATGCAGGCTTGCACCCCCCCGAGCTAGTAACGCCCTCCCCTATGACCGCAAAGGGCGCGACAAGTGATAGGGCGTTTGTTGGTGATGTTAGGTGAGCGTTTGGGAGTCAGTCGGGCGTTAGCAGTTATATGGGTGGCCTGGGTGCTTCTTTGTAGTGTTAGGTGACGGTTTGGTGTTCGAGGTCGGGTTTTTGAGGGTTGTTTGTTGGTGTTGTTCGGTAGTTTTGTTTGTTTGTTTGTTCGGGTGTTCGGTTGTTGGGTTCGGGTGTTCGGGTGCTGGGGTGTTCAAATGTTGGCTAGGTTGCTAGAGTGCTGGGTCAAGGTTTGCGTGCAACCTCTAGGTAGTATAGTTGCGCGATTCAGGGCCATTGTTGAATCGCACTTATGTAGGCACTGATGCAACAATATATTCACATCGGTATACTTGACATGCAAAAGCTTGACATACGCACAACTATTGAAATCCAGCGAAACTCGTGAAACCTATACTTGGCTTTGTAATACTCACAGAAAGCCTAAGTCAACTCTAAGACTTAACAACAAAAAAACAAACATGCCACGGCATCCACACGGATAGTACGGAAGGTGGAGGCCCTGGGAGCCCTATAGCCCCAATAGCCCCATAGCCCTGTAGCCCTATAGCCCTATAGCCCTATGGCCCTATGGCCCTATGGTCCTAAAGCCCTATAGCCGTATATAGCCCTATAGCCCGAGTAGCCTTATAGCCCTTAGCCCTGTAGCCCTACAGCCCTGTAGCCCTATAGCCCCATGGCCCTAAAGGCTTCTAGCCCTAGATCCCTATGGCCACATCGCCCTATAGCCCTATAGCCCCATAGCCCTAAAGCCCTAAAGCCCCATAGCCCCCCAAAAATTCGGATTGGGGTTTTTCTCTGGCATCATTTAGTTTGTTTTTTCTGTTAGCAAAAACCCTATCTATCTAGATCGGTTGATTCCCCAATCAGAGCTTGCTTTTGTAGGGCGGATATAAAGCTGAGGTGAGGTCGGCGGCCGATTTCGGTGGCCGGGGCCAGGTGCCGGGTGGCCGATTTCGGTGGCCAGGCCCGGGTGCCCGGGTGCCTGGGGGTGCCCGGGGGTGCCCCGGGGTGCCCAATGGCCCAGTAGCCCTATAGCCCTATAGCCGTATAGCCCTATAGCCCTGTAGCCCTATAGCCTTATATCCCCATAGCCCTAATAGCCTTATGTCCCTATAGCCTTATAGCCCCACAGCCCATATAGCTCTATAGCCCCATAGCCCTATAGCCCTATGGCCCTATAGGTCACAGTCCTATAGCCCGATAGCCCGATATCCGTATAGCCCTATAGCCCAATAGCCCTATAGCCCTATAGCCTTATAGCCTTAACAGAAATATGATTGGGCTTTTCTCCGGTATCATGTTCCAAGAGGCCCAACATGGGTGCCAGAAAAGGCCGAATATGTGTTCTGAGAAATCTTTTTTTGCCGGCTCACAAGGCTCAACATCGTATGCATGGGGCAGCGGCCAGGGGTTCCTCGCATACATGAGGCAGCGGCCAGGGGCTCCTCGTCTAAGGAGCCCCTCGGCGCGAGGGAGGAGGGAAGGGGGGCATGTCGCCGCTGTCGAGACAGCGGCTTTCGGGAACTCTTACTCTTTACTCTGTCCTCTGAACCCGCCGCTAGGGCGAATATCGTAAACATCGTTTTTTTAATAGAAGAATCCGTAAACATTGATTTTTTCAGAAGCGGAAGTTGTCAACAAATTCATCGTTGTTTTCTTTTCCGCCAGCGTAGCACAGCACCAGCGAAGCATTGCAATAACACAGAAGTTGCAAGCATATGCTTGGAAGTGTGCTAAATGACTAAAGCACTGCGTGGGGCGAAGGGTTGGGTACGTGGTGACGGTCGCGCTTCTTGAATGTATCGCCAGAGTTGGGGGGAGCTTAAATTTGCTGCTTGAAGCGTTGCCACGTTGCATGTGTTGCGCGCCTTTGGCAAACCCTGACTAAGCATTGAGTGCGTTGAGTTCCATGTGGGATGGTTTCGTGTTCTTCTTACGTAGTAGGTAGCGGTATGCCCTCCACGAGGGTAGTAAGAGGACGAGGGGGAGGGGGAACAGCAGCAGCGAAGGTCTGCATAATCATAATCGCCACCCTCGTGACCCTCAGCCTTCGAGTCGGAACGAGCGGATGGATGAGGGCAAGTTGGCACACAAATCAGGGTCGGAAACAGGAGGTGCGGACGTCAGGCGAAACTTGTGGATGACCCATCAACGCAACCACTGGGGTAGCACGGAGACACCTCAGGAGCGGGAGGCTGGAATTAAGACGGGCAGAGCCAACGGGATGACAAAAATGAGCAGGAGCAGGAGGGGATGATGAGAGGGGGGGGAGGATGACTAGGTTTGCATGCTTTCATTTTCGCTGCAAGCTAAAGCATGCTTCTGGCGTGCTGGGGTTACTGCCTCGGACCAACGAGCGCAACCACTGAAGCCGTGAGCCTTGACAGCTCACAAGAACAGCCACGTGATGGTATGTGTTGTTCTTCCTCCTCCTCCTTCTCCTCCTCCTCCTCCTCCTCCTCCCTCCTCCTCCTCCTCCTCCTCCTCCTCCTCCTCCTCCTCCTCCTCCTTCCCCTCCTCGGTCTCCTACTCCTCCATTCTCCTCCTCATCTTCCTTCCCGTACTCACCATCTTACTTCTGTGGCTTAGAAGCTTCAGGGCAAGAGAAGATTGGCAACTTGCAACAACGAGCCTGCATGAAGAGTCGCCATGCCGTGCAGTGTGGCCACTCTAGCGAGTGGCACTGCCAACCCTCGGCACTTCAGGCGGGAGCAGGCTTCATCCAAACCACCGGTCGTAAAGTCGACTCTCGAAGCAACCAGCAAGCACCTAGAACTCAAAACCAGATACTGGAAGCTTTCAGCACCTCGATCACACATCGAGGACATGCTTCGAAAACGCAGCCCACACAGAGGCCCTATCCTTCCACACCTGCGCGCTCTCCGTTTTGTAATGGTCATCGAGATCCTTGTTCACGGCAGCGAACACTTGCTTTGAGATCTGCTGCGCCAGACCTTTCGCCAAGACCGTCACCGAGAGGAAGTGGGCCCACTTCGGAGCCTCCTTGTCGTTTGCGGGCGCCCCGTTGTAGTACACGGCAGTGTACAAGAAGCCCCAAGGGATCCACGCCATCGCCTTTTTCGGCAACGTGAAGACCGCGCAAGCCGTCGAGTTCATGAACTCGGCGCCCGCCTCACTCTGCAGAAACCTGGCGTGGCACAGATTCCTTTCCCACTCCTCCTCCCTCCTCCTCCTGCTTCTTTCCTTCTCCTTCCTTCTTACTCCTCCTTTTCCAATCTCCTCCTCCTCCTCCTCCTCCTCCTCCTCCTCCTCCTCCGTCCCTCTCCTCATCATGTCCTCAGTCCTCTCTCGCCCTTCCTCCTTCTCCTTCTCCCCCTGTTCCTCCTCCTCCTCCTCCTCCTCCTCCTCCTCCTCCTCCTCCTCCTCCTCCTCCATCCTCGGTCCCCCCGTGTAAGCACATGGGTAGGTTTGGTCGCAGGCCAACCCTGGCAGGTTGGAGATCACGATGCCCCGCGCGAGCAGCTCCTCGATCTTGTACACCATGAAAATGATCGGCTCGCTAAGCGCCATCACGTAGCAGCCAGCACCCGACATGTTGAACGCCGCAGGTCCCCTGCGACAGGCGTCGCGGCGCAGCGTCACGATGCTCGGGTGGTTGCCCTCCATGAAGAGCTCGCCAGAGCTCTCCGGCAGCTGGAAGTCCACGGTCGTCAGGTCGGAGGTCAGGCGCGTGAGAGCCCCAGTCCACCTCGTGGTCTCCATCTGCTTGTCAAGCACCTTCACCTTCTCATCGAGAGCCAGCCCACACTTGCCCATGATGGCCGAGCGCACCTTCAACCCCTTCGACTCGGTCATGGCCCAGGCGCAGACCTCTGAAGGAATCAGCTCTGCAGGGTTCACATTGACGATCTTGAAGAGCACTCCAGTCTCCTCAGCCGTCAGCGGAGTGCCAGAGCTCTCGTACACGAGGCTGCCAATGACCTTGGCATGCTTCATGTGGTAGCCGCCTGCAGTCAAGGCATTCGCAACCTTGCACAAGCGAACACTCCCTCATCACCTCACTTGTCTTCCTTCTCCTTCTGCCTCCTGTTCCTCCTCCTCCTCCTCCTTCCAGTCCCCCTCCTCCTCCTTCTCCCTCTTCCTCCTCATCCTCCCTCCCTCCATCCTCCTCCTCCCTCTCCTCCTCCTCCTCCCTCTCCTCCTCCCCCTGTCCTCCAGTTGCTGGAGGGCAGGACGGGTTATGAGGGTGAGTTCGCTTGTCCAGTTGACCTTACCCTTCTGGTGACGCACTGCCAAGTACTCGGTGCGCTGCGCCTTCCTGGCGGTCGAGTCCATGACGCAGAACGTCGTCGTCTTCTTCTTGGCCTGCTCCTCGAAGTCGTTGAGAGCCTGTGTCACTGCGGCCAGCCTATCTTTGAGACCATCCACGCCGTCAGCCTTCAGGTCCTTCAGCGCTGGCCCCTTGATGTCCATAACCTCATGCACGTGCGTCGCATAGTCCGCGAGGATCTGAGTACAATTCGGAGCATCCGAATTCTGCGAGTGCTTCTTCACCAGGGCCTCCAGCTTGTGCGCCATAGACTTCGCGCCAGTGTGCCTCTTCAGCAGGTTGACGCAGCTCTCTGAGATCTCCTCCTTAGCAACTAAAAAGAGCGCCTCCTCGTTGCCCTCCTCGATCTTCGACTTGATGTCCTTCCTCGGGGCCTTGGTCTTCACCGACGCTGAATCGTCGTCCATCCTGTCGCGCTTGGCAGCCAAGCTTCGCAAGGGCGACCCGCCTCGAGGAATCTTCTCCAGGTGGCCAGACGGGAGGTCACCGAGACCCATCAATTGACGAAGATTGGCGCTTGGGCTCCTGGCAGGTTCATTGTGGCCACCCTCGTCCTCCAGCACTCTCTGAGTCACCTTGCCAGTACTCGTGTCGCGGCCAGACTCCTCTCTCGTGTACTTGCGGGCCTTGAGGGGCTGGACTGCCTCGCCGTCGCTGTCGAAGTGGGGGTCTGCGTCCTGCATTGCGTCGAACTCCTCGCTGGCGTCATCTGACTCTACCTTGTCCCAGAAGGCCCTGTACGACTTGAAGTGGCGCTTGCTGTAGAACTCCGTCTTCTTTCCCTCACGCTTCGACTCGACACTCCTGTCAGTCGTCTGCTGCGCAACGAGCTGCTTCTGCGTCTCATCCCGAGCGATCCTACGACTCGTAGTATCCGTTGGGATGTAGGGCTTCACCTGAGCTCGAAACTGGTCGGGATCTGATTTCACCAGATCTGCAGACTCCTTGAGGGCCTTCGCGTTGCCCTTCAGCTGCAAGCGATGGGCTCGAACCGCATTCCAGCACCTCTGACCGAGCATGGCGCCACGCCATTCCTTGGTGCACAACTCCTCCTCCTCACACACGAAGCAAGTCATCTTGTTGGGGCCAGCTGCAGTATCGCTCTCTGCCAAGCCGTACTCATCGAGCCCGAAGGTACCTGGCAACGACGCAGCAGCACTGCCTGAAGACATCGAGAGAAGACCTCTGTGAGCGCAACGAGTAGGCAAGGCAGCCTCTGCTGTGCTGCAAGAAAAGGGAAGCCAATCCCTTGAGCCAAAATGGCTATGGAAGACTGCATTGCGAAACTTCATCCACGTGGTGCGCCTCGAACTGGAGGCCTGATGAAATCTGAAGTGTAAGGCGAGGCCACTGGCAAATCCAACTCACGATGCCAGCAAACGATCACACGGCCAAGGACTCTCAGCAGGCAACGCAACAACCTTTCGGAGCCGAACGTGCCACTCGTGGCAGAGGCTTCTCTACAAAGATCTCCAGAGAAAAAGGGGAGGAGGAAGGATGACGGAAGACGGAAGGGGAGATGAGGCAGGAGAAGGAGAGTTGGAGGAGGAGGAGGACAGCAGTCGGTGGGGAGGTGAGGGAGGGGGAGGGTGGTGAAGAAGGAGAAGTAGGAAAAGCTAAAGCGTTGGATCCCTGGGGCCCCGGTGGACAGAATGACCCCTGGGCCAGCGGTCAGTCCGATAAACTGGCACGTTTGGTTGGTAGTTATCCCACCCTTTTGGGCGCGTCACCCCGTGTTTTCGTCGCGTTTTCCTTCCAGAAACAGAAACAAAAATGGTCACGCGCCTTAGGTCCTAAGCCCCGCTCTGTCTACCACCCCCCACGCACAGGATATCGTTCCCGTGAGGGCTTCTATCTGACCAGAAAGAAAAGGCCGTGGCCACGGTGACGCGTTCGCTCGGAGACAACGTGCTGGCGAACAGTGTCAGCCCTGACCGAATGGACCTTGAAAGCACAGCCGATACGCGGCGCAGCACGAGCACAGAGGCCATGGCCGAGGCGTCGGCCATCTGGGTGGATGCCCGAACGCGTACCTTCATCGCCCCCGAACAACCCTATTACTTGTTTCAGCCTCACGAGAGCGGAGAAGTGTAGAACGACACGTGTCTGACCATTCCCTGATGCAACGCGGACATGTCAACAGAAGCACTTGCTTGGAATATGGAACCACATAATTGTTGAACCCTTGGATCCATCGAACAACGGATATCTAAAACTCGTGAACCACAGCCAATGTCCGAACATATGTGCATCTCATTCCTTACTGAGGTATTGTAGTGACTTTGAATGGTCGCGTTGCGTGCGTATGTTTTGGTGCGCTCGTGCTGTCATGCGTCATCTGGCGCGAGTTGCCGCTGCTATTTTATGTGTGATCGTGCGAACGCGTCAGTTTTATTTCATGCTAATAAAACGTTGGCTCTGCGCAATATTCTGTACGTAACATGCATTGCGTGCGCCCTGTGTTGCGCTATGTTGTTATCACGACATTGCGCATGCACAATATTATTCACTACGTGGACGCACGCGACGACGGAAACTTGCGTTTCCGTTTGTGGCGCACGCTTTTTCGCCATCAGCAGCCTATCGCATCAGCCTGTCGGCCTGTCGGTCTTTCGTTCAGAAACCCGATGGCCGTATCGGCCAGTTGGTCGACGGTTATTTCGGCATGTCGCCTTACCGCTATATCGGCCAATCGGCTCATCAGCCGATCGGCCCATCGGATAATCAGATTATTGGGATATTCTCCCATCGGCATCGGCCTCTTATCGTATCGGTCAACTGCCTCAACGGCCCCCTTGGCTTATCGTCTTATCATGTTACAAGTGTATATTCTTCACTTGTGTCCCGATCTTCTTTCCCATCGGCCCACCGCCTGGTGTTCTTTTCAATCAGCCTATCGTCCAATTGGCCCATCGCCTCACACATCGCGACGTCGGCCGATCGGCGCATCGGCTTATCGGTCGACGACCCAATAACGGCCAATCGTCAATCCATGACGTGGGTATACAGCCTCAGTGCCCAATGGACCTATCGCCGCGTGGTTCTATCGAGGGGTCGGCTGTTCATCTGTTTGGCCCGCGCGCCCATCGATGCATCGGGTTGTCGCCCGATCGGCCGATCGTCCAAATCGGCCCGTCATCATCTCGTCCGCTCGCGCTGTGGGGTTCTCGTCACATCGTCCCAGCTGTGAAGCGCCACGCATAGGACTGCCGTATAGCCGCCCTGTCAGCATGTCGCCCTATGGCAAAATCACCATGTCGGTCTATCGCCATGTCGGCAGATCGGCATGTCGGTAGTTTTACCCGACCTGTATGTCAGCTTGGCGGTCGGCCGCCCCATCGTTGTCCCGTCTGGTTGGCCAATCGGCCGCCTTGCACATGAGTATGTCGGTCGGCCCCTGATCGCCCGATCGGCCGATCGGCATATCTTCCGAGTGTCCGATCGTTCCGTCGCCTTGCAGGCCCCGTCTGCATGCCGCGCGGTTGACACATCGGCTTGCACGCACGAAATTATGGGCATGCCGCTTGCTCAGCCCATCCGTCGGTCGGCCTATCGGGCTGGCGTCGCGTCGGCCCATCGCCCTAGCCATCGGCAGATTGCCCCATCGGTATATCCCGAGTTGGCATATCTGGGCCATTGTTATTCCTCAATGTTGTCACGTTTCACCATTGTCTTATCGGTCAATCGCCCTGCCGACTATTAGAAGGCCACTAGGCCGCCATATCGGTCGATCGCCCTGCCCTTATATCGCCATCTCGGTCTGCCGCCATCTCGTCCTATCTGCCGATCGTTTTATCGCCATGCCGCCCTTTCGGTGCGCAGACATATACCAACCGATGGGCATTTCGCCTTGTCAGTCGATGAGCCCGTCGGCGTAGCTCCCTGGCGGCCTGACAAAGCATCGGCATGTCGTCCGATCTTCATACTTGCCGATCGGTCTGTCTTCGCGTCGGCATGTCGCCCGATCGGTCCATGAAGCCCTCGACCTATCGCCGCGCTGCCCCGTCGCCCCACGGCCGCGTGGCCGATCATCCAATCGGCCAGGCACGCGCGTGCTCAGCCGATCGCACGGTCGCCGCGCGGCCCCGTCGCACATGCATATTACATATCATCGGCCAGCCGATAGGCCCGCATCTTGCCCAAGCGCGCTTGCTGATGACCGCCATAGCGGCGCCCTGCTTCATCTGTAGATCGCCGCGTCGGTCGATGGCTGTCTCGGTCGATCGGCCTTTGCAGTAAACCAAACAATATTTGCCCCATCGCAATGTCGGCATGTCGCCAGGCGCGCTCGTCGACCCAGCGGTCGATCGGCATGCCCGCATATCTGCCTGTCGCTTTGTCGGCCTTTGGACAGAGTGTCGCATTCGCATACATTCGCCCATCGCCTTGGCGGCGCAGCGTCACCATGGCCGACCTCCCTGGCTGGTGGTCGCCCGATCGGCCGATCGCCTTGTCAGCTCGCCGCCCCGCTTGCTCATCGGTCTACTGGCTCAATGTTCGGTCGGTTTCGCAGGCCGACGCTGGCGCGCGTTGCTCCATCGGCAGACATGTCGTCCTAACGCGGCGTCGGCATGCCGCGCTAGCACCACGCAGAGAGGTCGATTTGTTGGCAGGTCTGCCCATCGGCCAACCGCAGCTGGCCCACCAAGTCTCAGTAGGGCCCGCGCGTCCGTCGGCCCCTTGGACGAGCCCCAGCTTTTTTCACTTTCGCGTTTGCCATTGTATGTGTCTACTTCTTCCATTGTAATCACTAAAGGCTCAGGCGCGGGCTCGCGCGCGCGCGCGCGTCTGCGTTCTGTATTGTCCACGGTAGAAGACGCCGACATGCAATTTCAAAAAATAAATTGAGAAAGCCTGGGGCCTTTTAAAGAGGCCGACAGACGCGCGCAGTTATTTGCATTGCGTGCGCGCGTGCGTGCGCGCGGAAAACTGAAGAACTCAGACGCGCGCGCGCGTCTCACGTCTTTCTGTTTTTCGCGCAATGGAAATAAGTAGACGCGCCCGTGGGCCTCTTTAAAGAGCACCAGATGTTTCATTTTAGTTGTTGCGTTTCCATGTCTACCTCTTCTATTGTGGACAACCTTTGCAGAACCCAGACGCGCGCGCGCGCCCGAGTTCTTCTGCATTGCGCGCAACAGAAATAAGTAGACACGTCATCAGGCCTCCTTAGCGAGCCCCACCACTGTTCCATTTAATGTTCCAATTACATGTCGAATTCCTTCATTGTGGACAGTGCAGGACCCATATGCGCTATGCTCATGTATACTTAGACACATGCAATGCATTCGCGCATGCATATAAATGCATGCAACGCATGTATCACCGATGTTTATTGGCGGTTCTGCTCATCGGCGGCCCGCCAGGTCGCCGCTGTTCTTCGCCTGCTGAGCGTCGCAGCGCGCCCCAGGGTGGCATTGGGAATCGCGCGACTGGCGACGAGGCATTGCGCGCATTCGTGGCAATGCCTTCGGCGTCGCGGAGCTGCGGTTGGCGCTGGATGCGCGGCGGTCGGCTTCGCAGGCGCGTTCTTGCGCGCGCGCGTCGGCTAGTGCAGGGCGGCCCGCGGCATGGGGCTAAGGGCGCGAGCAGCAGCCGCAAAGGGCAGACGCATGGTTGCCGACGCAAGGGCGCGCTGGCCTGAATGCCATCGCCATCGCGCGATGATGGCGCGGCGCGCGTGCTCCACAGCTGGAAGTGGATGCGGCGCTTGCAGGCGCCTGCATTGGTCGCATAGCGCCCGCGTTCGCTTCGCCCGCCGCATCCTTCGCGGCGAAATAAGCGCGCTCGCCCTCCAACGCCATCGGCACATCCGCGCCAATCTCAAGCATCGGCAGCGCTGCGCGCGCCCAGCGCTTTCGACTCTAACCCACCCTGGCGCTATGCGCGGCGCGGCTGTCTTCAAAGTGTTTCCTCTATCATGTTGAGCTTGCGCGTCGCCATCGCAGTGACCGATCGGCAAGATAGCATATGCATTTGGCTCAGCGCTTGCACCTTTACATTGTTTAGAATCGATGCATCTTCAAGTTTGCCGATGCGCGATCGGTTCCTACTCGGTTCCTACTCGGTTCCTACTCGGTTCCTACTCGGTTCCTACTCGGTTCCTACACGATGGGCGGTTCCTACTCGGTTCCTACTCGGTTCCTACTCGGTTCCTACTCGGTTCCTACTCGGT